AGAGGTAAAACCATGTAGGTAGGTTTATTAAACGTAACACCAAGATAAACGAACATCATCACAGCAAACAGCAGGCTGTGATTGAAATGTAGATTAAACATGTGAGAACCTGGCACTTAGAAAGCTTCTCACACAGCAAACAGCCAAAGCTTAATTCTTCAGAGGGTCATTTAATGCTATTACTTTGCTTTTTATTATTCTACATCGGAGCACCTTTTATAGAGAATATTTTCAGTGGAATATATTTAACATTAACATTTAAATTTTACATTCCACTTCTTCAATAACATTATCAAATTAAATTCAAACATTACTGTTCATCAATTCTTCAACAGACATGATAATGATATTGGGCCTCTCAGCAGGTATACTGGCCCTCTTGTCTTGAGCAAACTCCTCCAGTTGTCTGAGGTTCGAAGGGTGTTTCAGCTCCTTCTAAAGATGCTTAATAGGATTTAGGTCAGAACTCATAGAAGGTCACCCAAGAATAGTCCAATGTTTTCCTCATAACCTTTCTTGGGTGTTTTTAGCTTTATGTTTTGGGTCAGTGCTCTTTTCTTGATATCCTTCATTTTTCAATTTCTGAACATATAACTGATGTGCCTCAGAGTTGTGGTTTTATTCATTTGAGACATTTTTTTTTTTTTTTATCTAAAATGACATGATTCTGCCAATTAATAACAATTAAGCTTCTAGTTAGGTTGATTGGTAAAGTCAGTTTAAAAATAGTACGTCAGAGTCTAGTTGTCTACTTTAACATATTTCTCAATGCTTATCTAAACTTGCATTTACTGACAAAGCTAGCCATCACAATGGCTTCTAAATGAAAAGTTTAACTTGTTAACAAGACTGAGAAGAATGCTCACCTTTTGCATGTGTGTCGTGCATTCTCCCAGCTGGCTGGATATTTGATGTATTTATGATCTCTCACCAACACTGAATTAAGGCCAGATACATTGCCGCTGCTGAGGAGGAGGAGAATCCACAATCCGGAAAGGGCTTTCATCATCTCAAAAATTAGAATATGGACAGATTATAGGACTATACTGTATTATGATAGGGGATATATAGATGTGACATCAATCAATCATTAATATCAAATACAAATTGATTCACGTACGGCATAAAAAAAATAAAATAAAAAAAAACACTGAACCAAAAATTAGCTCGATAGATAATTGTAGCAAATTACAAAAACAAATATAAATAAAAGTCATGTACAATTACATGAAATCTATTAGGCTCAAAATAGTATTGTTTAAGAGAGGGTGATTTTAAAAAAAATGTACAAAGCATGTATGTACATGTTTTCATAAAACAAAAACCTAAAGATTATTATTTAGGAATGGAAAAACTGTACAAAGCAGCGGGAACAGAAACACGTCTTTTGAATTAAGTTATTTTCAAACAGAGCTTAAACGTGCAGAGGAAAAAAATACTGACATTTTTTTTAAGTACAAAATTGTGTTATTGGTGTAATTACCTGTCTTGATAATTTATCCCTTTAGTAAAGTGTTTTCTTGTCAGCTGCTGGATGAGCCGCCAAGCTCAGACTAGAGGTCTTGTTGCTTCGAGTTCCTTTTTTGGAAGTGATTATTTGCCTAGATGAGTTGCCATTTGAACAGGGGGAAAAGGTGAAATCGTTTTCCCAGAGAAAACAATATGCAAACTAAGGTGTTGTAATGATCCAGACAGAGATCCAAATTTTCAGCCAGAACACAGAATAAGGACTTTAAGCAGTTTATTCAAAACTCAGGACTTCAGGAGCACATCCACCGAGGACCAGGGATTACTGAGAAGGGAGATTTAGGTTAGTGGCTTGAAGGAGTTCAAATAATGAAAAGCATGAAACCAACAAAACCACTGATCTTATGAGTCCTCCCTTCAGCAAGTTCAGCAGCTTGAACAGAGCAGACTGCTACTTTAAACTGTTGTTTAGTGGCCAATAGTTGGGTGGCTTGGAGCAATAGGCAGAATCTAGGTCCTGGAAGCCAGACTCAGGTTAGTGATCAGGGGGCTTGGCAGGAGGCAGAAGTCAAGGGGCAGAAACAGGGTCGTTGTCCAGAAGGCAGAGAAATCCGATGAGGGCTATAGGCAAAAGGGAAAATCTGTGAAGCGAAGACTTGGTCAGGTAACATGAAGTAGTGGATACTGCTTGCTTGTTGGCTTGCAATTATCTGGCCCTGTCTGCCTGCCCCATGGACATGCTGCTGATTGCTAAGCAGGCAGCAGCTGGAGTTGATTGCTCACAGGGAGAGCAGAGCAGGCAGACAGGCCAGAATCATAACAGGTTTACCTACAGTAAGTAATTTTTTTAGGCTAAAAAAACTGAACTTGGCCTTTTTTCCAGGCCAGCTCCCATTACAAGATACGTTGCTATGGGTCCCACCAAGGATATTTATACTTACTTCATACTTAGGATTTACAACTTTTCTTGTTAGTAGCAATTTCTAATTTAACTTCCAGAAATTCTGAATCAAATGAAAAAAATATGCATAAAACTATATATTTGAAAAACTTCTGGTTTTAAAGTACATCATAATATATTTCTATTTTTATTAAGAATATACTGGATTACTTTTAATCTGTGGACCCTTATGAACAATTGGAGTATAAACAATTGAAGTTTTGATTTATAAAACAGCTTCTGGACGCCTTCAAAGGTATGTAGTTGTGGCTGCTTTGTCATTTTTACATTTTGACATGTTGCTATATCTGTGTTAATTGTGCTTGTGTGCTCGCTGTGTCCATAAAATGAACTTGTTGGTTGAATTGTGCAGAATCTAAGCTTTCCAAAAATGTTTAACATGTCTATATTGGTAAAAATGTTACCGTTATAATTTTCGCCAGCGGTCCGGCGGGTTCAGAGAGAATAAATTAGATTCATGAAGTCCTCAAAAATTGCTGTGGAGTATAAATACTTACGCCCAAAACATTTGAAGAAATGGTAAATGTTTTTATTTTATTAAGGATAAAAGAAGGTTACTTAATTTGATGCGTGAGCAAGTTCATTTAATTTCCCAGTGAAATTAAAATGTATCTTATTCAAGTTTTTAAGGTTTTAGACATTACATAACAGCTCAAGCTGTTTAACGTTGAAATCAGTTTAATGTGAATTGTGTTAAATGCTTATTAAGCAAAAACACAATCTCTTAGTCTGTTAACACTTAAGAAAACTGTTGTGGTTTGGTTGTATTGACTTAAAACTTCAGTATGATACTGTTTTTCTCATATATTGTATTAATACTAGTCGTAAGTTTGTTGAGTTTATTTATCCCCTAAGTACGTTGGAATGATCTCATGTTAAGTAATCTGTTTCTGCATAGAAATAAAGGACAAATAAATCAGATACTCCCCTAAAAAAACTAAATAAACAAAACACAAGCAACCAAAATCAAACATACATATCATTCAACAGCCTTTTTGTCTGGATTTCCATGTTTTCAAATAGATCAATTTTATCTATGCCTCAAGGAAACTAACACTGTGAAAAAAAAAAAACTGTTTAAAATACAAAAAAGTAATTATCCAAGTATTAGTTTTGGGGTTTTGGAAACCTGGATTAGAGTTCAACCATAAATATGAACACTTTTCAATTTATTTTTAGGATGATAAAGAACAGTGGATAATTCTTTATCACTCCCTCTATCTCTTCACCCCTTAAGAATAGAGGGTCTTAGGAGCAAATTCAGCCTGATATTACATATGAGTTTTTAAGCAAGTACAGCTCCCAAACTATAAATCGGAAATACAGTTGTTTGTACTTTCATGACAGAAAGGCATTGAGGAATATTTTTCAGCTGGAACCACTATTTTAAATGTCACCATGTCTGATTTATAGGAGATTAAACAAAGAAAAAAGAAAAGATATTTAGCTTTGCCAACACTTTTTCCAAAATAAAAACTGCAAAAAAAACCATGAAACCCCATTTGAAACTCTGGATGAACCCTCAGACTCTATATATCCACATCTTGACTACAACTAAAGCAAATTTAGACTGAATAAGTTGAAGCCTGTTTGTTCCACAAAGGTTTTAGTGGGCAGTGTGCTAATCTCAGAATCTGGTCTTCAATGAAAAGAAACTACAGGTATAGTGTTCCCAAACCAGCCACTAATTTAACAACCTGTTCCCATTCATGCTGACTTTTGCACAGTTTCTATCTCCGTCAGTTAAATAACATACTGCTTTCATTTTGCATATCTCTGATAGTTGCTGCAATTTATCACATATCCATTACTGTAAAAATGTCCACAGCTGTTATTGATTATTTACTCTCTGGAGCAGATCATTTATATTGTTAAAAAAACTATACAATACAGTACCTCTTTGTATATTTTCTTAAGTTATTCTGGTATTTTATAAACTTATAAGGTCCACATTGTGTGACCACTTCGGCTTTAACCTTGTGCTGCTTTAATACCACAATTTCCCCTTTGGAGGACAATCAAGGGATTTTCAATTTTATTCTGTTCTATTCTATTCTATACATGGGTGAAAAGGCTTTTTCTGCTAAATCTTTAAACAAGTAGAAAACAAAAAGATATTTCCATATACAAAAATGGGTTTCATTATTTTATTTATTAAGAAACAAATAATCCAAACCAAATTACCTCTTTATAAAGCTATTTTCAGGACATTGACAATGTTACAGTTTTTAAGGCACAAAGCAGAAAATCTCACTAACAGCATCTTGTTGACTGTCAGTAAAGTCTTCTTTTGCTACGCCCTGTTAGTATGCACTATATTCAAATGCACTACACTTTTAAAGAGTCCAATCTTTCCATCATCTGTACAAACAACCTCATCCCCAAACTCTAGGGATTGTCAAGATGTTTTTTTTGGGAACAAATTTTAAACCAGGCTTTTTTCTCTTCTGGACAGTTATTTTTCACTTTGAGCTTTCCAATTTCAGTCCAGCTTATTTCTTATTGTTAAATCTTGAAATTGACATTATCCAAAGCCAGTGCAAAGCAGAACATTAGCATTGATTTTTTTTACTTTTTTCCATTTCCATGATGAGCTGATACAATTTTGGAAATCCTTTCAGTAGATTGCCATCGCTGGGAAAGGTTCACCACTGTTCCATGTCTTTTCCATAAGTGAATAATGTTTCCCCCAAAGCCTTCACAATGACTTTGTAATTCTTCCCAGATTGATGTTAAACACATTGTTTCTCATCTTTTCTGGTGTTGCTTTAGATCAGGGTATAATGTCTTCTCTTTGAGATCTTTCAATCTACTTCATCTTCTTTATGGACAAATCTTTGATCCATTACTTCGTATTGTAATTCTTCCTAGGGATTGCTTTAAAAATGTATCCAAAAATTTGGTGATTCATAGTCAAATAATCACTGAACAACACATTTTACAAACACAGGAAACTATTATTTGAGCAACATCCAAATAACTGGAAAAAGTTGACTAAAAAAGATATTTTTCAAGCGTAAATTGATAGCATTTATCTCTATAAACTATAATAGAACAATAATGTAGTGATTCTAAATATTAGAAAATTCATATTTCAAATTTTCTAAACGGCGCTTATTTTGGTGTAAGATAACATTTTAAATATGACATATATGTAGATGTACTGTAGTGTGTTATAATATGTTGCAATATTCAATTATTTTGATGGTAGCCTCATTACGGTGTATAACTGTAGCAAAGAAAGTTTTTTCTTTCTGAACAGTCTCTGGCCTCCATGCTGCCAGCACTGCTCTTGGATAAGATCCCACAGTGTTGCCTACGGGTGGGGCAGCGGGGCAGGTTTGTGTACAACATATCTGCTCCGTTCACCCACAGCCATTCACCAGCCAGGAAACGCAGACCAGCCCAAACCTGTGGGGGGGGGGAAACAACCAAACTTCCAATGATAAGCCTCAGCTGCAGCTCTATTTTAAGCCGTAATAATGTTGTAAAATGAATTTATCAACTTCTACATTCTTAGCATGCATGTAACTACAATGAAAAGGAAAGTAATTTCTATAAAGATGAATTGAGAACTCTTGTATTTTTTAGCAAATCCTGCCAATGTGCCTTTTTCATCTTTCTAAACATAAAATTCAGGAATTTATTAAATATGTAGATACAAATAAACCCAGAGTAAAAATCCTAAAGCTGACATTGTCAGGTATTAATGCTGGCTAAAATAATGTTCAGGGATTTAACAAAATGTTGCCTTTCTAATTAGAAAATACTGTACTGTGAATAAAGGCCAGAACACACCATTTGCATATGACATTTTGATCCCCGATCAGATTTTTTTCCCATGTCACTCTGACTGTGTATAGAGGGGCTACGACTTGGCAGGGTGGGCAGATCTCTGAAGATTTTTTCACTTCTGCCTCTGTGCTATATGCATATTAAAACAATTTCCCACATTGGACTTGGACAGATTATGAAAAGTCATTAAAAAACAATAATACATTCTATAAAGCAAAGTCTGTGCAGCATCTCAAACAAGATCTGATAGAGATTGTTTATATGCCTACATTAAAACATATAATGTGATCTACGTCTAAAGAAAAGAAAAACACATCAATAAATGCCATGGGTTAGTTTATATACTGGCTAAGGCAGTAAGAGGTGATTCTCAGAGAGAGATCGGGGAAGTCTAAAGTTTTTCTTTCTTCTTTCATAAAGAGATTAGACAGATGCAATTTACCCTCTCCTTCGGCCCCTCTTTATTTTGTTTTTTTTGTGAGGCTTAGTAGGATCACTATTTTACTATATTCATTTTTTTCAACTCCTGAAATAATTTTTTTTTCCTGCGGAGAGTGATAAACAGCTGTTTCCGTCCCTCGTTGTTATTGCGAGGCTCAAACTACTTTATCCATTTTCTGTCCTCCTGAACTCCTACTTATCATGTATAACATATTCTTTTCCACTTACTATAGCCTATACACGCTGTGCAAATTCAAAAAGTGACTGTTCCCCATGCAATTAACAGATTTTATTTGGTATTTTCCTCCAAAGCGGATGTGTTTAACTTTGTAACATCTCTCTTCCTGGCAAACCCATGAAATTGCAACCAAATTGCTGCATTGTCCGGCTGAAATAGACCTGGGGTCTATCTCAGACGGACCTATGCAGCCCCCTTTAGTAAAATCGTATCGAGTGTGGTCACCTGACTTTCAATGAGTGCTTAATGCCACAACATGTCGGATCGGACGCAAAATCAGATTCTGTGTGTTCTGGCCATAACCGTTTAATTCTTTAGTAGATAAATAAGGGAAGTTAGGTTTTGTTGGATATATTGAGTTTATCCTTCTGTTACTTTGAGGGCATTAACATACTTCCCTCCCATTTGATGCATTTTTGGCATTGTCTTTTAAGTTACAGCTCAAACCCTTACCTGCATCCTTGGTCCTTATATAAATAAGGGTAATTCTAATGTAAGAGTCTGTAATAAACCAGTGCTCTACTTATTGGCTGCACATGGCAAATTCAAATCAGAAAAACAATCATCTTAGTAACTGATTTAAAATTTAAACCTCCCTCTTTGGCTTAGCCCATGTATAAAACTTCTCTATTATCAATGAACCCACCTCCTCAGTATCAGCCTGCATGACCTTGTTCAAAACAAAGTCATGTGGGTCATTGGGCTGCAGGCTGAGGAAATCATAGCGGAAATCTTTGTTTGTGGTTGAACGGAGGCCTCTGCAGTGTTCCAGTGCCTCCTCCCAGCTCTTTTTCTCTTTCACCAGAACAACACTGTCTAGGATGCAGAGGAAGGGAAAACGAGCAGTACAGTTTTTGGGGGCCATCATCTTTGTCACCGAGGTGATAGACCCACAGTCACCCTCGGTACTCGGCTCTCCTGTTGACCAGCTATCATATTCAGAGACTCCTGAGGTCCAGCTCCATGATTGTTCTGCCAAAAAAAGAATATAATTTATTGCATACAAGAGCAATCATAAAACAACACTGCATAACCTTTGACCAAAATTTTGCCTAATTTCAGGCATATGAAATGGTTTTCATGTCAGCATACAGTATTTGGTGCATATCGATGCTCTCTGTAGGGTGCCCTCCTCAAAACTGACCAATGTAACTTACCTGTTCTTGACCCGAGTGGATCATCAAAATAAGTGGTCCTAATGGTCAATCATTCTGGTGACATGTTTAAGACTGTCCTATGTGCTCATGCCCATTTTCACTTACCGGTGGTGAGTCTTAAATAGTGGAAATATTGCAAATCTTCTTTTGGAAAGTAAGCTTGTATGAGCAATGCAGACAGCAACTTTTAAACAGAGTGTACACAAGGAGAAATGGGCTTGTGCATGGGCTTGTGCATGCTTTTGTGCGTGTTTAATAGGCGTCACCTCTCTTGGGGAACAGTGTTGTGCATGTTTTTTTTTGTTTTTTTTACATTAAAAAAAGCTAGTTTTTAAATATCATGCAATTCTATAAAATGCGTCATGAAAAGGAAAGATGTATGTATAAGTAAATGGTTTCAATGTGAGATGTAAAACACAAAACAAAAACTAATAGAGTTGATCATACCTTTGCAAAGGACATTAGTGAATTATTTCAACATAGGGTTGTTAAAGCACTTCTGTCTGGTTTCAACAGTAATCATTTACCATCTTTGTGCATTCCAATCCAGATTGGAAATTCTTGCTCAGTGAGAATGTTGTTGAGAAAGGAGCTTGTAAAGCTGGCCAGATTATAATATTTAGATGTGCAGTACTTCCAGGCTTCTTCCCAAGTCTTTGCCTCTGGTATGAACTGATAGTTATTGCTCAACAGGTTGGACTTTTGACACATGAAGAACCGGTGATCATTGCAATTTCGGATATAGATCCTTTAAAGAGACAGAAGACTTAGATTAATTGACACATATATTCTTCCTCTCATGAAGTATACTGCAGGTCAAAGTATACATGTTTTCAAGAAAACATAATAGATTTCCCTTTTTAGTCAACCAAAGATTTAAAGTTTTTTTTTTTTAAATAACTCCTAACTTAAAAAAAAAACAAAACACCAGTGAATTTTGAAATGAAAGATGAACAGTTTTGTC